AGTATCTACTCGGAACGTAGAATCTTTCTACAATATTTAATTCAACACAAATTAAATATTTAGCCATCAAAAATTCAGTCAAAATTGGGTCAAACCCATATTTTATAACTGATTTTTCCAACACTTTGCTAATACAATTTTTGAAGAGTTTGTTGCTATTCCGTTGTTATTTGCCAACGTATACCTTCCGTTGCTATTTACCAACGGAATTATCCGTTGCTAATACAATTTTTAAAGTGTTTGTTGTATTCCGTTGTTATTTTCCAACGGATACCTTTCGTTGCTACTTACCAACGGAATTATCTGTTGCTAATACAATTTTTAAAGAGTTTGTTGATATTCCGTTGGTATTTGCCAAGGAAATAATCTATTGCTAATACAATTTTGGAAGAGTTTGTTGCTATTCCGTTGTTATTTGCCAACAGATACCTTCTGTTGCTATTTACCAATAAAATTATCCGTTGCTAATACAATTTTAAAAGAGCTATTCCGTTGGTATTTGCCAACGGAAAAATTCCGTTGCTACTTGCCAACGAAATAATCCGTTGCAAATACAATTTTTGAAGAGTTTGCTGATATTCCGTTGTTATTTGCTAACGGATACCTTCTGTTGCTATTTACCAACGGAATTATCCTTTGCCGATACAATTTTTAAAAAGTTTGTCATTATTCCGTTGTTATTCGCCAACAGATACCTTCTGTTGCTATTTACCAACAGAATTATCCGTTTTTAATACAATTTTTAAAGAGTTTGTTGTTATTCCGTTGCTATTTGCCAATAGAAATATTTCGTTGCTATTTACCAACGAAATTATCCGTTGTTAATACAAATTTTAAAGAGTTTGTTGCTATTCCATTGGTATTTGCCAACGAAAAAAATTCATTGCTATTTACCAACGGAATAATCTGTTGCTAATACAATATTGAAATTGTTCGCTTCTATTCTGTTGCTATTTACCAACGAAAAATTTCATTGTTATTTGCTAACGGAAAAATCCGTTGCTAATACAATTTTAAAAGAGTTTGTTACTACTCCGTTGTTATTTGCTAACGGAAATAATCCGTTTCTATTTACCAACGAAAAAATATTCGTTACTAATACAATATTGATGATGTATGTTGCTATTCCGTTGCTATTTGCCAACTAAAAAAATCTGTTTCTATTTACCAACGGATTAATTCGTTGCTAATACAATTTTGAAAGACTTTGTTGCTATTCTATTGGTGTTTTGTTTGTGTTTACTAACGGAATATTTTCGTTACTATTTGCCAACGGATTACAAAGATGTAATTTTTCGTTGCTATATCTTGTTAGTATTCTGTTGGTAATCTGTTTAGATAAATTGTATATATAATGAATTGTTAATCCGTCGGCAATCCGTTGGCAATCCTTAACGGAAAAATTTTTGTTGGTAATTTCTATTGGCATTTTGACAATTTCTTGTAGTGAGTCATGCTGAAAGCGCATGTCATGTACTCAGTCTTCGTCCTACATTTTCACATAATATATTTGTAAATTTGGATCATGCAAACTATTCCTTACATTTTAATAAATTCTAATATATGTATTATATATACACACGTATATGTATGTGTAGTTGTAGGCTAAGCAAAAAATAATTTTTCCGTCTCATTTTTTAGTAACCCTTTTTTAGTAACGGTTACCCGTTTGCATTAATCAAGTACTTTTTTATTTACTTTATTGCGTAATAGTTAATAGTTAATTAATACTGGTTAAGCATGATTCATGAAATTACATTAAATGATATATGGAACAATATCCATATAAAAAATTATATTGCAATTATTTTTTCCTTAACTGTTTATTTACGTACAATTATCATTATCTTTCTTTTCAACTCATTAGTTATTTTTTAATTAAAATGAATTAATACTATTTTATCTCATTATAAAACCCCTTAAGATTCCATTTCCAATTGTTATATATGATGATAATTTTAATATTATTTTCATCTGTTAAATGATCATAATCACCCAATATTGCAAAATTACATTATTGCAATCAATATAGTAATTCATATGTAAATTCAATGTTTTATATTCATAT